TGATACTAATCAGAGTGTCAGTAGTTAGTATAGTTGATAGTCTTAGTTATATATTATCAGTTAAGATTTTTTAGGATTTTTATCCACCATGCAACCCTACAATAAATTTTTGTCACCCCATTACGGGTTGCAACCCATAGTTTGATTACCACTGCTATACATTATAAGCAAGAACTAAAACTAAAATGCAGTGAATGCTCTCAAAGGCAATTCAATATTTAAAATATTTTGCTCAAATTGATTTTTAATTTTTAAATTTTGTTGAAAATAAATCCAAATGAAAAGAGCATAGCATGCATACATTTGGCATAATTATCATTTTTAATCTTGCATTAATTTGAAATAATTTCCAAAAATTTTTAATATTTTTATTTACATATATCTCTGGAATTTTTTAATAAAGAATTACAATTTTTTGAAACTATGCCTTAAAAAACATCTACTTTAAGATAGTCTGTAAATTTTTATAGGTTTTAATTTTTAATAACTTAAATGACTGAATTTTATTTGGATTTAAAACCTAAATTTCAATTTATGAAATAATAAATCAAGTTTATAAAAAAAAGCTATATTATTAACTATATGGCAGATTCAATTAACTTTGAAGAGTTAATTTAAAATTAGTGCAAAAAATGTAAGCTCAAAATTTTGACATATGGAACAAATTCGGCATGTTATTTCAAAAAACCTTATGTTGTTATTTTAGAATCTAAAATGTTTTATTATTTGTGCAAGTTTACAGCATTGTCTGTTTGAATAATATTGCTCCTCGTTGCAGCAGTATTAACCAATTCAGCCCACAATGACTTTTGCAAAGATTTAGCAATTATGATTGAGCTAGCTAAATCAACAAGTGTTCTATTTGTTCTTTCAGCTGTCCCATTTTCTGGGCGATATAGGGGTTGCTGCAACAAAACTTGCTCCCTTTCTTTGCAAAATATTCTTTAAGTCCTTGTTTACATTCTCCAGCCCACTGTCACTAAAACTGCCTTGATTGTTTTCTCTGTTTGATTTTGAAAAAATTTACAAAATTCTTCAAACTTGGCAACAGTTTTTGACTTATGTTTAAGAAAATAAACTTTTCTGTACTTTGAGAAATCATTTGTAAAACATATATAATAGCGAGAACCACCTATAGATTCTTTTTCCATAGGCCCACAAGGATCAAAATGCATAAGTTCACCTGCCTTTTTAGAACGTTGTTGATAACTTCTGCTGTTTTCCTAATATACAGACGACTTCAATAGAAAACATCTAAAGGACAAACAAGAAAGCAACATTATCGAGCCTTCAGCAAGTTCTTGGGCTAAGGACTTTGGCAGTTCAAGGTGATGCTGTTTGATGATGTAATGTGGCGGTAACATTACAACACTTAGTGGAGACCGTGCTGAGATGTCATTTCTACGATCCATGTGATCTATCTGATGACATTATTATCATCAGGAAGAGTTTTGAAGAGCATTTAGAAAACATTAGGAAAAGGCTCAGAAACTGAAGGAAGTCAAGTTAGTTGAGTCCTGCTAAACCTAACTTGTTCAGACAGGAAGTGGCTTACCTCAGACATGTCATCTCTGCCAATGGTGTGTGTACCTATTCAGGAAAAGTGTCAGCAGTTAAAGATTGGAGATGCTGCGAAAATGTTTGTCAGCCGAGAAGTTTCCTGAGGTTTTTGCACCTACTGCAGGAGATTTGTAAAGGACTTTTCATCCATCGCAAGACTCATTCACTAACTGACAGACAACAAGCTAAAGTTCGTGTGGACTATAGAACGTGAGGATGCATTTAACAACTTGAAAGGAGCATTAACATCTGTGACAATTGTGACGTATTCTCAGCTCGACAAACCATTTCTTCTTGACTTCAGTTATATTCCGATCAAGGATGAAATTTTATTTCAAGCGTAAATAAAGAACTTGGTGAAGTACTCAGACAAATCCCAAATGAGGCCTTTACATCCGCAGCCAGTCGGCATTGTAGAGATGTTTAATCAAACCGTCCTTAATAATCTCTCGCTGATGGTTTCCAGAAATCAAGAGGCTTGGGACCAGAAGCTACTTCTGTTCTTACTGGCCAATGGCAGTGCTGTTCACGAGACTGCCGGCTATTCCCCATCCCAAATGCTCTTCGGTCATGAACTTCGTCTGCTTTTTTGCATTTGGTAGACCTCTGGATTCAGCTTCATCGCCTGATGAGTATATTCAAGACCTTCAGGCACTTTTTGAAGTTGATGGAAAATTTTGCACGAGAGCGAGTCAGCTTTGCAACAGAGAATCTGAAGGCCCCTTACAAGAGAGCTACAATACCTTGATTCAGTGAAGGTGATAAGATGTGGTTATGGAATCCGATTTCACGGAAAGGACTACAGTCGCCCTGGGATGGTGTCCTAAATAGGCTGAACGACGTTGTAGTTCGCATCCATAAGTCATCAAATTCTAAACCAAAAATCGTTTATTACAACAGGATAACTGCTTACCAAGAGCCATTTCATTTATATATAAATTTGTAAATTAATGCATTTATTTATTTATTTAGTATTTGATTTATGTTCTTTGCTGAATTATAGTTTTAGTATTGCATTGATTTTCCTTAGATGTGAATATGGCATACTGTCTCATATGCCTGGGATGTGCAGTTATTAGGAAGGGGGCAGTGTTATGAATTTTGCATATATGTAAAGAATTTTAGTGAAATTATAGTAACATTTTGTATAATTTTAACATGAAGTGCTTAAAATAGACGAAGCTCTGTCGGGAAAATAAGATTACAGGGGCTAATTCAAGGGTTGGATAGCTAATATACAAAGTGAATGTTAAAAAATAACCCAAAAATTCAAAAAAAATGGTATTAAAAAATAAGTTTGATAATTCTATGAATACATCTAATTGAAATTGCTACGAATTTTATATGTGTGTAAATAATTTCAGTCAAATTACATGTGAAATTGTAGCATTCTTTGTATAATATAACATGACATTCTTGAAACGAAACTATGTCAGGAAAATAAAATTACAGGGGCAAGTCTATATAACATGGAGATAAATGGCTACCCAACTAAATTTGCTAGATATCGCCAGCAAAAGTTAGATATTTGCTAGGTATCTAATTTTTGTTGCCAAATTTGGTGATGTTTTGGTCTGGTCCTTGTATAACTGTAATTGTAATTATATTTGCCTGTATTTTTCCAGTAATTTTGAGAAGTGAAAGATACTAAAGATTTCACAGCAGCCGGGGAAAAACCATATGAGACTGGGAAGAGCATCAGTTTTTCAGTTCATAGTCAACTTTGGAATATTGAGATATCACCGTATGAGCCTGTTTAGATGCACTTTGTTTAACATTCTTAGTAGTTTAAGTGTAGCTACGGATTCTGCTCTGTCACATCGAGGAGAGCTTTATGAGTATTTTCGTAAAAAGTTCCACGAGTGGAAAGTGTTTCTTTTGGTTAAATAAATTTTATCAAGTTTTCATCGTTTCTGTGGGCATTCAATTCAGTACAAACCCATACGCATCCAACAATATCTCATTTTCATTTCATGTGTTCTTCCTTTATCCCTTCCCGCAGATCTGCCAGATGCCTTGCCCAACAAATTTGACAATTGTTAGTCTTGATTGGTAACCATGCGATGTTTTAGAGAGTTTTGTTTCTTATGACAGCCCATTTAAGAAAATTGAATTAATATTTTATATTTTTGTTTGGTTGTATTTCTTATTTTTGCTGTGATTTTGTCAAAAAGGTACTTTTTTACATTGTTTCCCTTTCTTGAATGCTAAGTGCACTACATTATGCATTTTAACCCTAATTAGTTTGAGAAAACAAAGGTGTCAATGCCTTGCATTTGGCAAATCTGTTCCCCCTTTTGTTATAAATGATACACACCTTGTAATTTTCTGCAGTTAAATGAAACAGAAAAGGGAGAAAATTGTAGTAAAAACCAGGGTTATGGAGTCGGTAAGGAAAATGACTGACTCCGACTCCTGGAATTTTAAAGACTCTGACTCCCTCATATATATATATATATATACCTATGGGTTACAGTTTTTTTAATATAAAAGAAGTAATAGATGATGCAAAAAAAAAAAAAAAATGATGGCATAGGAAATTATTTATATTAATTAGCATTTATTATGAAATGGAAAAACTGGCATTAGTTATTTCTAAGAAACAGTATAGCTTTGGCAAGATCTTCTTTGTTGGAGGGTCATAGATCTGATTTGATAAATTTCAGAGCTGCGAAGAGTCTTTCCACACTAATTTGAGTAGGAGGAAGAGCTGTTACTGTTAGGGCTACTTCTTTTAACTTTTCAAGATAGATTTTATACGTTGCTTGATCAATAATTGCTCCTTCTCCTGCTCGCTTCAATTTTCAGAATTCTTCTGCTTACCTAAATTTACCAATGAGATTTGTAACTAAATGAATCTGTTTAATCACTGATGGCAAATTACCATATCCATCCTCCACCCTTATATTTATTTATTAATATGTCAATAAAAAATAGAAAATAACTATTTATTAATGTATACAGTTCATAAATAAAAATAATAATTCAGGCTGTCATGAATGTTTTTCAATTCATTTTAATTTCATTTCAAATTCAAACTGTCCAACAAAAACGGGAGTTGAAGTGGACCTGTTTTTAGCGACTCCAGCTCTGATTCCGACTCCACAGTTCCTGGTAAAAATGGTATTATCTTAATATCTTCATGATGAATAGCATGAAAACTGAAAGGAATTTCTTTTTTTTTATGATACTTTAAGTATTTTTGAGCAAATTTTAACTAAAGTTATTGAATATTCACCCATGCTTGACTGTCGTCATAAGTTGGGTGCATAATAAAAATTTTCCCACTTCTTCCAAGAGCTTTTTCACTCATATATTCGCTAATGAAAACTTTAGTAATTCATTTTAAATTGATTTAATTTGTTTTATGAAAGTATAAACAACATTATGTGTTTTATATTAAATACTTTTTTACATTTTTTTTTTTTTTTTTTTTCTAGAATGAAGCGAAACATCATTTGCAAACTACAAAACCTAGGAAAAAGAGGAACCTCAAAAAGTATAAAAAACAACTGTTGCAAGCTTCAAAACAAGGAAAAAAGGATAAAAAGCAACCAAATAATTTAATAAAATAATAATATTTTGTAATATTTGTAAATAAATTCTTGTATTAGCATTTTGTAAAAAACATTATTTGTAATTATTCGTGTTGCTTTATATGGACAAAATAATAAGAATTTAAGATATATGACATTAATTTAAATTTTCGGTTAAAAGCCATATAAACTTTATCACATTTAGCAAATTATTTAATTGTTCACAGTTTTAAAGGCGATGTTCAATGAAATATGTTAACTTGAATCAATATTGGAAGAGAAAACGTCATTCACCGAAATCACTTCTACCTTCAACTAAAGATTAACCAATTTTGTTTAAATTTAGAATCCTTTTACCATCTTATGTGCTGGAAATGGATTTGATGCTGTAAACTTTTTATGAATTTAGTAACTCTGAAAATATTGTCAGTTAATAGTCATGAATTTGGCTTTGGTGAATTTTGCCAGTATTTAGACCTTTTGAGCGACAAGTTTTTCTCTTTCAATATCGAAGCAGTTATAATATTTGTCCGATTACCACCTTTACGCTTGCTTCTAAATAAATATTTCACTGATCTTCAGTATCCCCAACTAAAGCTTGATTATGTAATCAACGCCTTAAGATAAAGATTATTTTGAAAGTTCTTTGAAATCCAAAAGTTTATATGTTCTGATTGCCATTGAAAATTTTGCTTTAAAATCCTTTGCTATTTTGCTTCAGTGCAACTATAATTTATTAATCGCCTCTTCAAAACTTGAACTTTTTTTGAATTTTAGGTACACCTTGCACAAAAAAAAAAAAAAAAAAAAAATTGGGACAATTCTATATTTTCCAGTCTTTTGGACCAACTATTGAAATTTAACTTTCGTTTTCCGTGTCACAACTCTGGTTATATATTTGATTTACAGCATTGTCGGACAAAATCGGACTTTTTCTGAGATAACATACTAATTTTTTTTCCCATATTTCGATTCTACGACTTGATTATGCCAGAGTGCCAAGTTTTGTAAAAATCGTAAGACTAGTTTAAAAAAAAAATTAACTCTCAAACTTTTAGTTCCTCCATGTTAACTGAATTTGATATATATTTATTAATGTCTATTTTTTTTATTAAACTTATGATTTTTCCTTTCACATTTCGAAATTTAGGTTCATTCCAAATAAAATTCACCTGTTTTTTATGATTTGTATTTTTTAATAATTTTTATAAAATTTTCAGAAACAATTTTGAATTATAACCTATGGAATTTTTACCATCATCTTAAAATAGATATACTTTTAAGCATACCTGGAAAAAAAATAGTTTTTTATTCAAAATTTCTCAAGATATACATTAATTTACATATTGGCGCATTTTGAAATTTGTTGTAAGCGATAATAACACCAAATGTGGTTTATGCACTTTGTTAAAATTATTAGAAAGTATGAACAATGGCCTTTTTTTCCGCTCGTGTGCAATGAAAGAAAGGAAAGGAAAATAGGTTGCTATAAATTAAGAAGTTCCCAAGGGAATTATTCTTGGCGCAAACTGAAATAAAATGAGCCGAGATAAATTTTTTAATTTCTCACCAAAAATGGTAAAATTTAATATTTAGGCATAATTTGAGTCACAGAATCGAAATATGGAAAAATGTTGGTATGTTATTTCAGAAAGGTCTGATTTATTGCTAAAATATCTATGTTGGAACAATGCTATAAATAAGCCTAATAGATACTCTAAGACGCGTTTTCGACACATGGAAAACGTAAATTAAATTTCGACAATTGGTCCAGTAGAACGCGAGATATAGAACTGTCCCTTTCTCTCTTGTTTTTCTTCCCAACAAAGTGTACATTTATTTTTCTGTGTTTACTTGTATGTTGTCCGTTTGCATACAAATAAACAAGCACAACTCGACTAGACGAACTACCTTAACTCGCTCTCCACTGACGATAAATCGCTATGTAAAGCAATAAGAAGTTATACGAGGTGGCACAATAAAATTCCGCCCTTAAAAGGTCCCAAAGCATCCACTACACTGATACTGAGAAAGCAGAACTTTTAGCCCAGCACTTGGAATCTCAGTTTCACACAAACAACAGAATGCTTGGTTTTTAACTTTCAATTCACGTATACTCCAAATCTATGCGGACAACATTGTGCCAGTCTTACCGTCGGAGGTCTTTAGTTACATCAAGCAGATAAAAATTACTAATACAATGATAAAGAACTTCGCAACAAAGATGGTATTTGTATTCATGAAAATCATCAATATTATCCTCGAGAGGCAATACTTGGAAACTGGCTATCATCACTCCAATCCTCAAACCCAAGAAGCCTGCTGCAGCTCCAGAGTCCCACAGACCAATCAGTTTATTTTCATCCCTCAACAAGATCGTCGACGCTATCCTGCTCAGAAGAATAAACTCTCCATTGGATGAAAATATTATTCCATACCAGTTCGGTTTCAGAAAAAAGCCTTTCCACAACAAACCAATTTCACCGTGGTGGAGATGGTAGCTGAAACCCGACCTCCAGACCAAGAAAATCAGCGGCGTAATCTTCCTGGATATTGCTAAGGCTTTCGACTGTATATACCCGGGTGCATTAATATGCAAAATGCAGAATATGACGTTTCTTGATTACATCACAAACATAATTAAATCCTATCTGATAGGTAGACACTTCGTCATTTATGTATCTGGTACATATTCCACCAGCCGTGCGATTCTTGCAGCCGTACCACATGGATCTCTTCTTGGTCCTACCCTCTTCAATATTTACATATACGACATTTCCACTATACCCAACACCACGCTCGCAATGTAAGCAGATGATACAGCGATCCTGACACAAAGTGCATTTGTCAGTCCAGTCTTCCAACGCTTACAAGAACACATCCAAACACTTAGGACTTGGCTGGAAAAATGGAAGGTATTAGTAAATGTGGACAAGACCGAAGCCTTCCTGTTGGCTAAAAAGAAAAAAAATATTGAAGGAAAATCTAAAATTTTATGGTACGTCAATTCCCTGGGCCAAGCAGGTCCCTTATCTCGGGGTGATCCTCAGTAATTCTCTCACATGGACCCCACGCATTACATCTATTATTAAGAAGTTTCGAGCAGGTATCAAAACAGCGTTCTATCTGTTAACAATAAGCTACTCATTTACAAATCCATCTTTCGTCCAATATTATGTTATGCATGTCCTGCTTGGGCTAACTCTTTTCGTATTAATAATGAAGACACTGCAAACGGCGCAGAAGTGCGTTCTGCGTCAGATAACAGATTCGTGTATCGTAAATTCTAAAGATATGCTTTTTTTAAATATTTTGTGATACTGCTGGTGAATTGAATTTTGTCGTTAAAGGGCGGAGAACATTGGTATTTAATAAATAAAGTAGCACACAAAAAGTTAAAAAAACGCCTTTTTGGACGTAATGTAAAATCTGGAAGTTATTTGTTTTTAGTAAAATTAATTTCATTCATCTAATTTCCAATTTTTTTAATTCTTGAAATCAGTTCCAGGTATTTAAAAATTAAATTAATTCATGCACTAGTACAAATTTGTAGTTAAAACATTTTTTGATTTGGTTTTCTGCATCTGAAATTTGGCAACATAAGCTCTCGGGGAAGAAAATTTAGGCTAATATTTGGGTTTGGGAACAGTGATACTTCTATGAATCGAATTTTCTTAGGCGTGTTTTTTATATTTAATTTAGAGAACTTCATCGCTAATAATCAAATTAAATATATTTCTGATTTTGCATGTCCTCTGTAGGAAAATTTAAGATGAATGAAGGAGACTGGATTTGTTCCGATACACAGTATGTGCTTTTTGTAATTTAGAGATAAAATGGCAATGCTTTAGACTAAAACGCGGCTTTCTTAATAATTATTTATATCGTGGTAATCACAAAACGGTTTAGAATTTTAAGCCCAAAATCATATAGTTACTTTCAAATTGAAGCGTTTCTTTACGCGTTTGAATAAAACGATTTGCTGTGGTATTTGAATGTTTTGAATTTTGGTGCTTTTCTCACAGTAAAAAATACCGCATCGAAGGCTTAATTGCAACAGAAAAATTGTAACATTAATTTGTTAGTTTTATATAAACGATAAATTTTCAGCAAGTAATTTTATAATTAGTGTTTAAAATTTATGTGGTCGATTGACTAAAAAATATTTTCAACTGTGTTTAACATTACTCATGTAATCGCTGTAATCATAAATTTGGAAATTTAGATCTAATAGCTTAGTGTAATTATTTTATGTTGATGTGAAACTATCGTTAGAAATAATTGTAATTTTGTTGATAATTATTGTAATGATAACATATAGTCATTCATTTCTGCTGTTTCATTGGGATCTGGATGGATGTATGGGACCAATTCTACACTAGAGCCGTGATCTGTTTTGTTAATTTTTTTTTTTTTTTGGTTCAAATTAATGCTTTTGAGTAGAGTGACAAATAAAAATAGAAAGTGGTTTAGTAAGTGATAGTAACTGAATATGATTTCATTTCTGTAATTATTACTATCAATTAAAGTAGCATTAAATTCAGCTTATTGTTTCAAATCAGAAGAAGAAGGAGCTCTGCATGTTATTTTCACTTGTTGGAAGGGCCTTGAATTTTAATTTGTAAACTATCACTTACTTGACTATTTTACTGTTATAAAGTTACAATAATGTGCCAAACAAATATTAATTTAAAAGTCAAACGACAAAAATCAGCATAATATTTTTCAAATATTCACAGGTTTTTTTGTTGTTTGACTTCTAAATTAATACTTTACTGTTTCACTGTAATGAGAGCAAACTGAAGAAATGCAGATTTCCTATTCAGAGCTTTAATTTGTTTAATCAAATAATAAAATAGTGCAGGCCTCAAAAGAGTCAATATTTACATAACTTTATGCAAATTTGAATATGATTTAATCATGTTCGGAAAGAAATTTCAAATGGCTGGAAGATATCCAAAGTTTGAACATCTGTCTGTTGCATGCAACTGGATTCTTATCAATTTTATAACAGTATTAAATAATCCTTTTTCCTTTTTTGTACCAAAATAAGTAAAACTGGATATTACGGTCCAGTTTAGCGCATTTTCAAAAAATTGCCAAATTGGTTGTTTTCGCACGTTTTAGAAAACCATATCGCCATATCAGATGATTGCAAATTTGAAATAATGCTGTAAACATGCAAAAATATTTAAACAACCTGTAAACATGCAAAAATATCTAAAACAGGACTTCAAGTAAATCAATGAAGAAGGGGAAAGTGCAAAATCGCCCACTGCTTTGCACGTTTTTAAGAATTGAACGTACTCGGTGTCCATGTACACATTGACCTATTTCCACTTTAAAAAAAATCCCAGAATTGCCCAAAAATGCCAATGTACACTTCCTTTATCCACGTACACATCAACTTATTTTCACTCAAAAAGTCAAAGAAAATTGACAAAAATCCAATTATTCTTACTCTTGTAAAAAGCGCCAAACAAATAAGCAGGCAATTCTGCACTTTAACCACAGTATTTAAAAGTTAATACAGTCAAAAGTCGTTAATCTGGACTCGTCAGGACTCCTGCGATTCCGGATTATAGATCATCAGTTTAAATCTCGTAAGATGGCATTCAGAAATTATAAAATTAAAAATATGAAACCGTAATTTATGAAATAAAGAACAATTATGATCTAAAGAGTATCAAAATTTAAAAAAAAAAAAAAAAAAAAAAAAAAAAAGCTTAATATTTATTTGTTTACTTTATTAAACATTTCTTTCAATGTAAGTTGTTTAAGTTGCTTTGTTTTATGTGATAATACTTTCTCTTTAATTCTACAAACAGACATAATTTCTTGTTCAGTTACACAGTTCCGCTGTTCAAGTCCCGTAGTTGCTGTGCCGAGAATACCGACTAACTTGTCAATCGAAATTTTTTCGTTTTCACTAACCTCTCTGTCACATTCTTCATGTCTTTATCCATTTTTTGCAGCAATTCCACTTTTTGTTTGATGGACATCGAAACATACTTTCATTTTGTACGATTCTTTGGGAGCTCCAGAATCGGAAATTCTATTTGACATAATCGAAAGTTCAAGTTTACTTTTATAGTATTGCTCTTACTGTCTGCAAAAAATAATAAGCCGGATCCAATTCAAAAATTAAGGAACAACGCAATCATCAACATTAACTGAAATAGATAATTGGATAATTTTAGCTTATACCGCCCGTTATACATAAAACGCGCATGCGAAAACGTATTCTGCGCTTGCGCACATGCATATGCGCAGACGTAAGAGGTCTTGCGCGCACGCGCAAACGCCTATGCGCTTGTGCGGCACATGCGCAGAAAGTTTTGAGCTTTGAGGTCCGGATTATGGGTGTCCGAATTAATGACTTTTGACTGTAACTATGTATTTTATATAGGATCAACAGCATTAAAAGTTTTCATAATATCATATACAGTACAAAGTCAGTAATCTGGGATCATCAATTTAAATCTGGTAAGATGGCCTGCAGATATTATACTACAGTCAAAAGTCGTTAATTCAGACACCCATAATCCGGAATGATCTATAATCCGGACCTCAAAGCTACAAACACGACCTTTACTGCTTCGAATATGCGTGTGCGCATGTGCAAAATACGTTTACACATGCGCGTTTACTTCGAATTGGATCCGGCTTATTATTTTTTTAAGACTGTTAGAGCAATTTTATAAAAGTAAGCTTGAACTTTTGATAATGTCAAATAGAATTTCCGATATGTATTTACTAATATGTAAAGGATCTACAAAGCGAAAGTATGTTTCGAAGTCCATTAAACCAAAGTGGAATTGCTGCAAAAAATGACCTAACCATTCCGAAAAATGTTTATCAATTTCACGCTGCTCTGCGGCCGGGGATGAGGGGGGAACAGCGCAATGAATTGGAAGTTGAAGATAAGGATAGTTGTCAGCACTATCCTTATCTTCAGGGCAGATGTTTTCATTTTATTTGGTTTATAGTTCCTTACTAAATGTAGTATTTCATCTCGATGTATTCCGTCTTTGATATGATTTAAATCAAATTCCTCGTCATTATAATTTGCTTCCGATAGTGAAGAAAGTGACCACTGCATACCATCTTACCAGATTTAAATTGATGATCTATAATCCGGAATCGTCGAGACGAGTCCGTATTAACGACTTTTCACTGTATTAAAAATATGTAACCGTAATTTATGAAAGAAAAAGCAATTATGATCTAAAGGATATCAAATTTTACAAAAAAAAAGCTTAATATTTATTTGTTTACTTCATTAAACATTTCTTTCAACGTGCACATGAGTAAAGCATACACACATAATGTATGTGCATTCTCTACGCACATGTGTAAAATTTGTGGCTTTGAGGTCCGGATTATAGATCATTCCGGATTACGGACTTTGTACTGTACCATTTTTAAGACAGTAGCAAAATGGAGTAAAGCGTTTTATCGCGAAATTTAAGAAATTGTAATAAGCAATAAATGATCGGAAAGCATTGATTTGTATTTAAGCCAAGAGGTTATCAGATTTGGCGCAATTTCGCTTCACTTGGCGACTGAACCGTAATCTCCAGTCTAGCCCCAAAATCTGTATGTAATAGGTTTATGAAATTCTAACTGTACTGTAAAGCTGCGTTCAGACGGCAGCATAGAGGCATAGTCATAAGTGTTGGCAGTGGTGATGATAAAGGCAAAGCATATTTTGCTTCCTTTAATTAAAGCTAAGACTAATCTAAATAAAATTCATGCTTCATTCCGTAAATAAAATAAAATAAGCTAACACTGTAGCCTTTACATTTAAAATCATTAAGTGAAAGAAAAACTAGCATAATGCTAACTGATAATCACACAAGAGAACAAGACATTCGCCGATACCGGCGTACATATATATAATACTCGGCCAACCCGCTGATCTTGACATCATCGAGCAATCAGCGGCAACCACATTAGCTTACCGCCGATTGACCTCCGATCAAAATTTGCATGTGGAAAACTAAAGCCAACAATAAGGGCATAAAATATGGGAGTTCCGTTCAGAGACTGGGTCTAAGCTGTGGCCAATAAGAGAAGCTAAATTTGTGCATGCGAGGATGTATCTACACCTTTCTTGCGCTGTTTTCCAGCTCGATTGATTTCCCGTGCTCGTTCTTCTTGTTTTCATTATTTTGTGTAATGGCTTTTCAGCTCACCGCAAAGTTTTACTGGTTCAACAACTCTTTTATCTGCTCTTCTTATAAGCCAAGAGGCAATGGAAGAAGGTAAAAAAAGAAAAAGAACAAAATGGTCAAGAGATATTTTTTTGGAAAGACCAATACTTGGCACATATTTCTGTGCAAAGCAGTATGAAATATTTGTGCGTTGTACTGTAGTACTCTCTATACTATAAACATGCATGTGCATACTTATATATATAAAACATTCTTCAATTTTTATATATAATTTCTCTTAGGAAAAATACGATATTCTAAATATGCCTAGTTAAAAAAAAATTTTGAGGATAATTTGACAGATAGCCTGTATATAATATTTTTCCATTTAGCAGGTGTGAAAGCAGTTAAGTGGAAACAGTACTTAACATTATTATTTTTTAAATTTTCAATCAAAAGGAACATGTTTCTGTGACTTATTCACTGTGACTATCTATCACTACAGTAGTTGGCTGCGCTACCAGTATCAATTATCACTAGTACTAGTATCCCACAACTGGTCACCATGACCAGCAACCACAACTAGTACAGTCAAAAGTCGTTAATTCGGACACCCATAATCCGGAATGATCTATAATCTGGACATCAAAG